AGCCAAGAGAAAAATCACACAGCTAGAATGATTTGGGGGCGGGGGAGGTGCAGCTGTGTGGTCATCATCGTAGTCCCACGGGCTTCCGGCAAGATATGTCCTCAAGTTCTCAGTGTCTGGTCTTGATGTCATGGCTGGTGAGCATCCAGGGGCTGAGTGCAAAGGGAGTTCACAGACCTGAGGCAACTTCAAGGGGCCACGCCAGCAGCCCGAGTGCCACCGGAATGCCAGGCGACAGCCGGAGAGAACGTTCCACAGCATTTCTCCGCAGTGGCCTTTACCACCAGGTGATCTTCGGCATGGCAGGCTACACAAGGCAGCACTGGCTGCCGCTCTCAGAGAACACTAAGGTAAAGAAAGGCCCAGGAACCTCCATTAAGGTGGATGGTGAAATTATCTAGAATACAGTTGACCCCACCTTTTGAAACTTGCCTTTTACTACCACCACTGCCTTACAGAGGTGTGGGTTCTCTGGATAGCTAGCAGAGTCAGGCCCAATAAACTTGACTGCTAGACGTGGAAAAAAAGGATGGGGTGGGAAGATGGCTTTCTGTCTACCAAGACTGCTTTCTGGCTGATGCTCAGGGAAAGATCTGTCAAGCAAAGCAGCATCTTTTTACAATTGTTTATAGCTCACGTCTTAGGGAGTAAAACAAAGGATTCCAATTGTGTTGATAATCCCTTGCAAGATCTGGGGTGGTGCTGAGCTGCTAGCTTTCAGGATTAGGAAGGCAGCTGTACCTTGCGGGAGGGGCAGGGGACACCGGCACCGGGGTGAGCATCTCCTTGAATGAAAAGGCCGGCTGTCTGACTGACCGCGGTCCCCGCGGGCTTAAAGGGGGTGGTGCCCACTATGCCGTGGTAGCAGGAAAGGCAGGGTTCCTGGATCATTTAACTCCAGCAGTTTGTGTAGACAGAGATATGTCACCCTATTGGTACTTAAAACACGTAATTCAATCTCAGAGTTAGCTTCAAATAATAACCAGGGTCTGATAAGTCCATGCTGAGACCGACCCAGTGGACATAAAACATCTCACCCAGGATTGTGAGTTTGGGGAAATAAAGGGAGAGCAGGTGCTTTTAGTTTGGCAGAAAGGTAACAGTAATTCCAAACAACAAACGTCATTAATGCAGAGGCTTACCCCCAGTGAATGAAGACATCCAAACTACAGCCTATCTTTCAGTTACTGGCACCAATTTGGGCAGCTAGGCCAGCAGAGCTATGTTGTACACAAGAGGCGGGGATTGTAAGGCAGGGTCAAAAACAGGGCCGGGGGACGACACACTGCAAATTCCTGAATACCATTTATAGGAGATTGCCAATGTAAGAAAGCACACATGCACTGCATTCAAAACCCAATGGAAAAGGTTTTACTTTAATGTCACAGCCCAGAGGACAATTGGACTCCATCTATTTGTAAATACAGACAAAACAAGAATCAGGCTCTCTATTTGGAGCGTTTTCCCTGTACAAAGCAGTCAGGGTGGCAATGCAGGCCACTAAACACACAATTCCTTTTACTGTTGCCTACTGTGGAGCAAAAGAGACTCTGGCCCAGGGGGCCTGGGCTTCTGAATTTCTAACACAGGATCAGGGTATCGGTGGTGCTGCCGGGCCATGGCAACGTCTGAGGAGCGCTGGCAAAAGAAGGAGAGTCAGCAACAGCCAGGGCAAGGCCAGGAAGGAGGCAATAGCTGTGGCTCTGAGGACAGATTTCTTGGCAATCCGCTGTGCCCACTGAGCCCACTCTGCCCTGAGAGCTAGCACAGACGCCAGCAGCCAACCGCCCAGGGGCCTACAGACTTCGAGAACGTTACGTGGGACCACTGCATGAGGGATGAGAGACACACATAACAAATGTAAAAACTGTCAACAGCAAACTGGGGAAAAACAGATCCGCTTTCTGGGCCACTGATGCCGCCTGTCCATCTGGCTGGCAAGCTAACGTGTAGAGACAGGAGGCTGCTCCAGCTCAGCAGGCACAGAGGGAGCGTGCACACAAGTCCTTACCTTGGGGGAGAGTAAGTTGCTTTCTGCACTATTATCTTGTGCTCCGGTGCCGTGTCTCTAGAGCTAAGGAGAAGATTGAAATCTAAAAACCTGGATTGGCTATCCATCATCTCAACTGATTCCTGTTCTGGCCTGACCTCGGGGCCAGCATGGCTGGTTCCTGGGGCTCCTCACAGGCTGTGTGGGCGAGTCCTTTGTGCAGCTCTCGGTCCCCCACACAGGCTCATTAGCCATTCCTCCACCTTCTCGGGGGGCACAGGCTGAGTACATTACAAACAGAGGGGAATCACATACAACAAGTTATAATTTTGCCACACGGCAATAATTATTGTGATAAAAAAGAGCTATTCAGAAGGGGTGCTGCCAAGGTTACTGGTCCTCAAATTAAAATTTGCCTCCCCAAATCCATTGAGTTTTAAATGTTCGGGGGGAGGAAAAAAAAAACAGAGCCTAGTGCAAAGCCCCCAAAAGTGTTAACAAGGAAACTGCCTGTGACAGTTCCTCTGTCACAAACATATAACATATACATAACATACATGGACTCAACAGCGGAGACTATTTGAAAACAAACAAGCTCCAACCTCAAAGTTCCATTAGAAAATCTCTCAATATTCTTAAGAATATTGCTTCAGTTATTTGTTGCGAGTAACAATAATCCTGAGTTGGATACAATAGCAGCCCCATCCCATAATTTTCGTTCTTTTAAACAAAGGTAGACCCTGTCTGGGCACTGTGGAAGAATGTTTTCAAAAAATAGACGTGAGATCCAAGAAACAGGCACAGTCTGAGGGAGACCTTGTTATCCAAATGTGCTGCAGTCCAACTGGCTCCTCGGAAGGCGGTCGGATCTCTGGAACGTGCAGGGTGCCTTTGATCTCCCACTTTTAAGCCATGGGGCAGGCAAGACTGGAGGAGGGTGCTGCCACCCGAGACGGACCCGCTCCCACTTCCTGAAAAGCCCCGTGCCAAATCGCCTCTGAAGCCAGCACTGAGGCACTTTCCTTGTGCCCAGCAGGGAGGGGAGCGGTGGGGCCCCTCCTGTCCCCAAGGTTAAGAGATAGACCACTGGGCGGGCGGGCAGCAGGTAAGGCGAGTATGCTGGCGCTGCCCTGACGAGTCTAGTTCTGAAGACAGTTTTCCACAATTATGGCAGGTTCTTCACGTTCATGCTTTATTGAAAGTAGCATATGTATCAAAGACAGGGACTGGTAAGCAGGTTGACGTCTCTAAAGAATGATTTTAGTTCAGAGCAGAATGCTGTTCCATCTACAGTGATATGCTTCCTTTATGGACCAATGCATCTGATGTGAACTTGAGCAAGGAAATACCACAGAACTTTATTCCCTCCCACGACTAGAAGTCGCATGTAAGCATGATTTATGTCACTGCTACGAAACTTGTTCAATCTTCACTTGGCCCTCTTCCCTCCCACCACCCCCACC